CTGTCAGTCAGATGGACTTCCTGTCTGAATCTGTCTGTCGGACTTCCTGTCTGTTAGATGGACTTCCTGTCTGTTAGATGGACTTCCTGTCCGTCAGATGGACTTCCTGTCCGTCAGATGGACTTCCCGTCTGTCAGATCGACTTCCTGTCTGTCAGATCGACTTCCTGTCTTTTAGATCGACTTCCTGTCAGTCAGATGGACTTCCTGTCTGAATCTGTCTGTCGGACTTCCTGTCTGTTAGATGGACTTCCTGTCCGTCAGATGGACTTCCTGTCAGTCAGATGGACTTCCTGTCTGAATCTGTCTGTCGGACTTCCTGTCTGTTAGATGGACTTCCTGTCTGTTAGATGGACTTCCTGTCCGTCAGATGGACTTCCTGTCCGTCAGATGGACTTCCTGTCTGTCAGATGGACTTCCTGTCTGAATCTGTCTGTCGGACTTCCTGTCTGTTAGATGGACTTCCTGTCTGTTAGATGGACTTCCTGTCCGTCAGATGGACTTCCTGTCCGTCAGATGGACTTCCTGTCTGAATGTGTCTGTCGGACTTCCTGTCAGTCAGATGGACTTCCTGTCTGTTAGATGGACTTCCTGTCAGTCAGATGGACTTCCTGTCTGTTAGATGGACTTCCTGTCAGTCAGATGGACTTCCTGTCTGTAAGATGGACTTCCTGTCTGAATCTGTCTGTCGGACTTCCTGTCAGTCAGATGGACTTCCTGTCAGTCAGATGGACTTCCTGTCTGTTAGATGGACTTCCTGTCAGTCAGATGGACTTCCTGTCTGTAAGATGGACTTCCTGTCTGAATCTGTCTGTCGGACTTCCTGTCAGTCAGATGGACTTCCTGTCAGTCAGATGGACTTCCTGTCTGTTAGATGGACTTCCTGTCAGTCAGATGGACTTCCTGTCTTTTAGATGGACTTCCTGTCAGTCAGATGGACTTCCTGTCTGTCAGATGGACTTCCTGTCTGTTAGATGGACTTCCTGTCAGTCAGATGGACTTCCTGTCTGTTAGATGGACTTCCTGTCAGTCAGATGGACTTCCTGTCTGTCAGATGGACTTCCTGTCTGTTAGACGGACTT